GGGAAGTTCCACGGGGGGCGCCAGCAGGGACGGCGGTGAGAGGCGGCCGGCGTGGATCTGCCACGTCTTTGTCAGCCGGGACCTTGGGAATCTTTCTTGGTGTTGCATGAATCACCGAAGTCAGGAAGGATTCTACCAAGTGAGACCCGTGCCGCTGCCTCTCATCTGTGGTCTTTACGAGATGTTCTCGTCGTCGTCATCAGGGCCACAGGCCGGGGAAGTGCAGGGGAGAGAGGGGGACGTCCACTGAGCACCTGCTGTGTCCAGACTCTCTCTTGCCTGCCAAGAGTCCAGGTATGATCGTTCTTGGTTTCCAGAAGGAGAAACAGTTGGAGAGCTTAAGGAATTCACCCGAATCACGCAGCTGGAAGGGGCAGAGGAGGACTCGACCCTTTGCTTCCCCCAGCACCATGCTGTCTGTTGGGGTTTCTGAGAAAAGCTTTGTGGATTATGTGAGTTCACCCATTTCCCAAGGATTTGGTTTCCTCTCTATACTTAACCAGAAAATAGCATTTTCTCAAGATGCAAAACCGTTAATAGATGCACTATTGAGGGAGGGCCTAAGGTAACGATGTCCCCAAATGTCAGGGCACAGGCTCTGGTGAGGGGCAGGGAGGGACGAACTTGGCCTCGCTGTGCAACACCCTGGTGCTAAGATGGAGGGAAACCCTACGTTACAATATTCACAACCTACCAAACATACATGGGTTAAACCCACGAGTTAAAAGGCAGAGGCCGTCCTACCAGGAGAAACTGCTGGGAGAACACACAGCGAGGTGAACCGGAAACACTGAGGATAAGAGGATGGGAAAAGACACTCCAGGAAAGTACTCAGCAAGAGAACTGGCGTGACGACGTCGACCTCCCTCCCTCTCTCTCTCTCTCTCTCTCTCTCTCTCTCTCTCTCTCTCTCTCTCTCACACACACACACACACACACACTCTGAGAATATAATGCAAAATGTTTCAATTCACCAGAAAGACATGAGAATATTTCTCTCTCAGCAATTGGTAGGTTAATTAGAGCAAAAAATAATGAATATGTTTGGACAATTTGATTTAAAATATCTTCCAAATGGACACAAATTAAGCCCGCCCCACCCTCAACCCATTTTATAACAATAGGTTTCTTACCTCTCACTTCTTTGAACAAAAAGTGATTTAAAAAATTATTTTTTGATACTGGGAATGAACCCAGGGCTCATACTTGGTAGACAAGTGCTCTACCACTGATCTACATCCCTAGCCTGACCAAAATGCAACGGAGTAGAGGTTAACAACAAAATGTAAATTAAGATGTTTCCATATTGTGGAATTTAAAAACAGAATTCTAAATAATCCATGTTTCACAAAGAAATTGTAATGAAAACTTAAAAATACTTAAAACAATAATAAAACCATGTAGAACTTTTATATTACAAGGAAAGTTGTGTTCAGAAGGAAATGCATAGTCTTAAATACAAATATTAGTTGCAAATAATAGAGGCTGAATATCAATAAGCTAACTCCATCTAAAAATGGGGGAAACCATTCATATCAAAGAATGAGAAAGAGAAGAATTTAAAGAAGAAAATGGGTGTATTAGTCCACCTTGCATTACTATAATTAAATGCCTGAGGCTGGGTAGCTCTATAAAGAAGAAGGTTGATTTAGTTCACAGTTGTGCAGGTTGAAGGGCATGGTGCTGGCATCAGCTAGGCTCTGGTGATGATTTCATGACAAACAGCATGTACAAGAGAAAGATGGGGAGGAAGAGTGTGATTTTCGGGGCAGGCTCACTACTATTATTATCAGTATTATTTCATGTCACTTAGGTGTTGGCAGTATGGGGACTGAACCCAGGGGCACTTAACCACAGAGCTACATGTCTTGCACTTTTGATGTTTATTTTATTTTGAGACAGAGTCTTTCTAAATTGCCCAGGCTGGCCTGGAAATTGAGATCCTCTTACCTCAGCCTCCTGGAACACTGGGATTTCAGGTGTGCACCACTGCACCCGGGCCAGGTTCAATCTTATAATAACTCACTCTCTTGAGAACCAACTGGGAGTCCCAGGAGAATCACCTTCATCCCTTCTGAGAGCAGAACGCCCAAAGACCTAAAGGCCTCCCCCAAGGCCCCACCTCTTAAAGGTCCTGCAACCTCAACACAGCCACACTGAAGACCCAGCTTCCAACTTATGAGCCTTTGGAGAACAAACACATGCAAACCACAGCATATATATGATATTTAACTATAAACACAGCAGAGATTAAACTGATAGGAGGGCTTGAGGTGTAGTTCAGTGATAAAGCATGTGCTTAGCATGTGTGAGGCCCTGTTCCGTCCCTAGTACCAAAAAAGAAAAAAAAAACTGAAAAAATAAAAATGATAATAAAAAGAAAATACAAGAAACAATTTCATGGATAGCTTTGAAAATTATATCAAAGAGAAATATTCCTAGAAAAAATATAACATTCATGCTAACCTAAGAAGAAATAGAAATCTTGAATGATCCTGGAATTATTAAAGAAATTGAAATGGTTTTGAAATTCTGGCCACAACCACACAAGTCAGATTTCACAGTTGAGTTCTTCAAATCTTTCAGGGAACTAATTGCTCAATCTAACAAGAATCCTTCCAGCACAGAGAGAAAGAACACTCTCCAGCTCATTCTATGAACTCACACTAGTGAAGGACAAGATAGAGAAAGGAAAGTCCTAAGCAACCTCATTCACAGACACAGATGGAAAATCCATTTAAAGATTAGCAAAAAGGATCCAGCAACGTTTTAACAAGGGTGTTGTATCTTCCCAGGAATACAAGCATGGACCGACATCAGGAAAATCCATGTCACTGTGTAGCAGAGAATTTAGTTAAAGAGATTTCTGCTGTGGACATGGCACCCATCTGTAATCCCAGCGACCCAGAGACTGTGGCAGGAGGATCACAAGTTCGAGGCCAGCCTCAGAAAAACTTAGCAAGACCCAGTCTCAAAACAAGATATACAAAGGGCCGCAGATGTAGCTCAGTGGTAGGCACCCTGTGAAGGAACGACCGGACAAGGCTCGTCGTCGAAGAAGTGCCCATTTATTGAGGAACAGCTCTGCATATTTATAGAGTGTGTGTGTGTGTGGGGGGGGGGGTTGACAGTTATGACAGTTTAACAGTTTAAGGTTTGACAGTTGGCACGGGGTGCTTTCTGATTTGGGTAAGGATCTCGTGAGTCAGCAGGGCTAGACTGATTGGTGGGTAAGGATCTCGTGAGTCAGCAGGGCTAGACTGATTGGTGGGTAAGGATCATGTGAGTCAGCAGGGCTCACCATTGGACGGCTCTTCTGCAGGGATGGGAAAATTAGTCTTTGGAGCCGGGGGACTCCCAACACCCTGGGTTCAATCTCCAGTACTGGAAAAATAAATGTCCTACCTTTTGTTTCAACCCCTGGGAGGTTGCCTCGAACCCTTGAAATTTCTTGAGTGACAGGAATGTCTTGGTTATTCATGGTGGGCCACTTGGGCCACACCTGATAGTCCTATTAATGGAACGACTCATGGTGGGCCCCTTGGACCACATCTGAGTCTATGCTAATGAGATGAGTAGGGCGGGGCTGGCCAAGTGATCAAGACCAGCCAAGCCATCAGAGGGTTGGTGCCACCTGACATCCTTGGAGACCAGGAGCAGTGACGTGCATACCGCCCAGTGGTCCTGCCCGTGTATCCAGGCCACCACCAGCACCTGGAGCTGCAGCGTGGCCAAGCTTCCTGGCTCAGCAGCGCCCTGCACATTGCCCCACACCGAGGCCAGGAGGGGACTTGGATGAGGACACAGGGGCTTCATGTTTGACACTCTTTCTTTCCCAGACTCTGCCCCATGGCTCTTCGTTTATATGACTACTTTGTTTTGGTACTGGGCACTACCCCTGGGTTACATCCTCAGCCATTTTTTTCCTTTTTTGAGACAGGGTCTTGCTGAGTTGCTGAGGCTGGCTTTGAACTTGGCAATCCTCCTGCCTCAGCCTCCAGAGTTGCTAGAATTACAGGCATGGCCGCCACATATTTTATATATATATATATATAAAATATTATATTATATATATTAATATATATATGTAGAAAATATATGCCTATATATCCTATCTCTATATATACATCTTCTATCTATGTATAATATATACATATGCTAACATATACATATTCCATCATATTTATATATATATATTTTATATTTATATATATATATATATATATATATATATATATATATATATATTATGATCCATTTGTGTGCAGTTCTCAGGCAAACTGAAGACCAAGAAAACAGTGTCTGTGGCGGGGGGGGGGGGCTCTGGCAGGTGAGGGGCGGGCTGGAGGCCATAAAGGGCTCCTGGTGACAGGAATGCATGACGCATTTCCTGCATGAGCTTGTAGGTCCAGGGGTGCAACATTTCTCAAAATGCCTCAAACTATATGCTTAAAATCTGCTCTTTTTTTGCATATGAATGATACTTTGACCCACAGATATATTGCAGACTGCTTTTTAAATAGATTTTTATCAGTGGAGATATGGTAATAGTTTGGTTTTTTTTTTTCAGTTTCTGTTGGGAAGAGTTTTATGTTGTTTAAAAGATATTTTGAATAACTTAACCTGATTTATGGACTCAATAATGTTTCTTTCTTCCATTTTTTTCTCCTCCCTTTAAAGAATTGCTTGTCTTTCTTATTTATTTTTAGAGTGATTTTTTTTTCTTTTTTAAAGACTTGTGCAATACATTTTGAGATGAAACAGCAGATTTTTAAAAATAATTAAAGCATTTAATTGACTATTACCTAGATTGATGTGTTGACTATTTGTTAAAGACTAGTTCTTTAAGCTATGTACACATGATAAATCCCAAATGGCAGTACCTCATTGTTTACTTAGCTTTTGTACTTATATTTTTCAGAGGAAAAAATACTACTGTAAATTGTAAATAGTCAATACATAATGGTATTGTACACGAATCTGTGACTGGCAGTGTCATCTTGGAGGAACAGACAAATAAAGTTTATTTACTATGTAAAAAAAATAATAATAATAATTTAAAAAGTACATTTGGAAAGAAATCACACAACTTAAAAAAAAGCAATGGCATGATAAACACAAAATTTAAACTTGTAGTTACCTCTGGGTTCAGGGGAGTGAGTGGAGAAGGCTCAGAACCGTCTTTGCCAAGTGTTTGACGTAGGGGCAAGTTATGGGTGAGTTTTTCCTGCTCTGAGTGTTGGGTCCAGGACTCCAATTATAGACTCTTATTCCTGTAGGTGTTACATTTGATATTTTTAAGTATCAGTATTATTTGAATATATCAAATATCAATATTATCTGAATAATATCTTCTTAAAAATACTGAAGGAAATGATCACTTTAAGGTGGGAAAATTTAAAAGGGATTCTTGGAAGAAGGCTTACTGGAATAGAGGAAAGGGACATGAGCTTTTCTTTCTTCCTTTCTTTTTGGTGGTGCTGGGGATCGAACCCAGGGCCTTGTGCATGAGAGGCAAGCACCCTGCCAACTGAGCTACATCCCCAGCCCAGGACGTGGGTTTTTATGGACAGATGATCAGCAACAGAGATTTTGGTGGCATCCCAGTTCTGCAATTGGCAAGCCCACAGAGGGGGAACAGAGCCCTTGTGACCGAAGCCCTTGCTCATGGCCGATCCTACCCAATCTTGCTTCTGTCTGGAGGTCTAGCTCACCGGGATGGTTGAGCACCTGCAGCAAGAAACGTACAGCTCTGACATCTCTCCAAGGGCCAAGCATTTCTGTGGAGGCTGGTTAATAAACACACGCTCCATCTGTCTGGATTCCACAGCTAGATCAAACAGAACTTCCCCAAATAAGGCGTATTTTCTCTCTCAGGTCATTATGAGTTAAACTTCAAGTCCTTGGGGAAGACATTCCAGTCATGCTCGGTGCGTACAAGTGCGTACACATCATGAAAGCGTTTGTGTGGTGTTGGCGCAAAGAAACTGTCATTCTTTATAACGCACGTAGGATTATTAATTGTGGCTGTAGAACTATTAATTGGTGTTGGCATTTGCAGCAAAGCACTTAAGAAGAGCAGAAGTCCTAGAATCTAAGCCTGTGAGACCTGCAGGGGTTGGCTGACGTTGGCTAAAGCAGGCAACCATAAAGCATGAAACACAAGCCCTGGACAGTCCGTTACAACTTCAGACGTGTGAGTTCATATTCCTTTGACTCTGTGACAACATGGCCAAAGCTTTCTTTGCTTGTGGGTCTGCTAACTGGAGGTAAATTGCTTTTTTGTACAGATTCCCCGATGCTGCATTGTCTGCAGGCCCACAATAACCAGGTTTCTCAACAGGCTCCTGTCAACATCCCTGACACCCATTTCTTGCTCCCCACACCCCAGCCCCACTGACCTTAAATCCTAAAACACACCAGACTCATTCCCACCTCAGGCCCTTTGCACGAGCAGCCCCTTCTTCCTGGAAGGCTGTTTCTCAAATCATCGTGTGCCTGGAATCTTCTAGTCGTTCAGTTTACACTTAAAACAACGGAGATCTTCCCACCCCATCAACCTGAAGTAACCATACCTGACAAGGTCTAGCTCTTAGTTTGTCCATGTGCCTTCTCCTTCTAGAATGTGATAGAACAGGGGTCACGGGGTCTGGTTTGCCATCCCCACGTCTAGTGAAGGGCACTTCAGTGAAGTCTTGCAGATGAGGCACCACCGCCGAGTGGAGAGACGGCGGAGTGGGTTGGCGTGTTCCCGTGACCCTGCACACCGGGCCCTCCCTCCCCGAGGACAGGTGCGTATTTCTCTCCACAGCCTTTGAGTCAGCTCTGGGCTTCTCGTAGGCGTCACGGTGCACACGTCATTTATCCGAGTTACATCTGGACCGAGACTGATCTCATAGATGGCGAAGTGAAGACCGCTCCTCCAGATTCTTACTGAAGTTGCCAAAGGACACTTTAACACACACACAGTCACCGTCTGTGGCCGGGTGGACAGGCTCGAGATGCTGGAATCCATCGATGCTCAAGTCCCTTGGATTAATGGATATAGTGTTGGCACACGACCTACGAGTTCCCGCCGCTATTCGTTAAGTCATCCTGGGTTGTGTCATTCCCAGTGCCGTGTGCGTGCTGGTAGATCCCTGTTACGCTGGGTTGTTAGGGAATAATGACAAAAAACAAAGTCTGCACGCGCTCAGTACAGATGCGATTCTTTTCCTGATATTTTTGACCAGCGTTAGGTGGGTCCCTGGACGGGCGCCCGTGGATATGGAGGGAGGGCCGACCCTCTCACGGACTCAGTTCCAGCTCCTCGTTACCTGTGGATCAAGCCCATGACGTCGGCCACATGGTTCTCTGCAAGCTGCCCCCCCCGTCCCCCACCCCACTAGCTTTGAGCCCGCTCTGTGACTCTGTGGAACTTCTCCCTGTTCCCTGCGGGTCTGGGCTCTTTCCCTTCTCCCTGCCCCTGTCTGTCCCTGTCCTCTTTGCTCCTGCCATCTGCAGCCCCCTGGGGAGCCCGGGCTCGCTCACTGACGGCCCTGCCTGGTGCTCCCTCAGCCGAAGGCCCTGGTTGGAGAGCAGCGCGGAGCCCTGTCCGAGGGTCCTGGGCCATCTCCTGTCTTCCTCTTCATTCCTCCCCCGGGAAGTGCTGAGCCAGACCTCCAGGTGACACTCCAGGTGACAACCTGAACTGACTTCAGTGAGCGGTCCACCACCATGGGCCAATGTGGAGCAGGGACTTTGCTGAGTCTTGAGTCCCCACAACTCACCCCTGGCCATGGCTTTGTGACCCGGAGGCCTGAGATCTGCTGGGGTAACGCCATCGATGGGGCTCGGGGTCTTCCGACAGCTCCTGCATGGGCTCCTGGTCCAGCTGGAAGCTGCTGCTCAGACCCAGCGTGACCCTGGCCACTGCTAGTGCATAGGGAGGCTTCCCTGCACACCCTCTCCCGGTCCTGGGGCTCTGGGCTCCCTTCGGCTTGCTTGCTGGGCAGGGAGCCGTCCTCATCTTGTCCTGGAGCCACCCTCCACCCCCACTGCAGCCACAGTGACCATCAGGATGCTGGAGGACTGATGGTGCAGACGGTCTGCAGACCAGTCACAGTCCAGGGGCAGGTGGTGGCCGGGCATCAGAGGGGTTGCCCCTTCCACATTCTTGACCAGGTTGAGTCTGAATAGGAGGAGACTTTGGCCCTGGTCACTTCTTATTTTATTTTTGTTATGTTTTTAATTAAATCGCCTCGGTCGCTGACACCCTGGAGAGACGGGGAACCGCCGCCTTGCAGTTTGTTAATGATACACCATCTGTTTGCTCCCGGTGGTCACATGATCTTTGCTCTGCAGAACATCCTGTCTCACTGGCCTAAACCAGTTTGTGGGTGAAATGCTGGGGACGATGCCAGAAGCTTCCTCTCCCTCTCTCACACACACTCTGTCCTTTCTCCTCCTGTTTCTTCTGCTCATCGGAGGATGAACCGTCCCCCCAGACGGGGCGGGTTTTGCACCGGCTGTTGATGGCATTAAACCCCACGTCTCCATTGCAGTCTTTCAGCCTGACTTCAAGAGTCACCAGCCAAGACCACAGCCAGCCAGGCGGCGACGGCTCTGAGAGGGGGAGGCAGAGGCCAGGAAAGGCCCCCCCGGAGCCTGGGGGCACCCCTCAGCCAGGCTCAGAGGGAAGCTGGGACCCCTCCAGGGCAGAGGAGGAAGCCACAGTGACCTGGCCACTGAGTGTTGCGTGACTCATTTTCTCTACCTATGAAATTCCCCATCACTGACTCATCTCACATGACGGCCTCGATCAGATCTCTCAAGAGTGTCCGTCTCAGGAGCTTCCAAGAGCTTTCGATTTCATCCACTTCAAAGAAGAAGAAATAACAGAGGCTGACCCTCTGGTGGAAAATTCCACCTCCCTCCCGGAAGCGCTCTCTCATGACGTGCAGGTGGGGTGGGGGACTCGGAGAAGAATGAGACCCTGGAGGGACTGTGCTATGGGACAGGAGATGCAGGCTGTGAAATGTCACTTAAAAAGCTTTCGGAAGTCCAGCACCCCCCAGTGTTCAACACCCCCAGACGCCGGCTTCATGGCCCGGCCCTGCCAGGCCAGGCCTCAGCCACCATGTGGTGGCTAAGGTGACGCGCCACCATGGTTGGAGTTTGTCCTGGGAGTGCCCTTCTGAAGGGACCAGGAGTGCAGGGGGCGTTCTGGGTAGGGTAGGAGGAGAGGGCTCAGCCCAGGATGCCCACAGGGGAATCTCGACAGAGCAGGGGTGCTGCCCAGGACTGTGGGCCAGGCCCCCTGCACGCTCCCCAGGCTCCTCCCGGAGGCCCTTCTCCTCTCCGATGGGATTTCGCCTTTTAATGTCACTGGGGAAGTGGGGTCGACAGTTATCTGATGACCACCTCCTCCTCAGGGGCCTGAGCGGCTTTAGGATCTGGGTGTGCGCGTGTGTCTTCATGCCAACACACGCGTCCTCTGGTGGGGAGCGGGCTCCTGTGTGTGATTCGTCCCGAGGTGCCTCACACTGGAGTTCGTGAAGTACGTCTCCAGTCAGCAGAGCCAATCGCCCGGAGCCTCTTATCACCCTCGGATAGGAGTCTGCAGCCCATAAAACGCAGCACACAGAGAAAACATCTGCACCTGCGCTTCTTGGCCCCAGAGAAGGTTCTTTAGTCATCTGTGGGTGAAGCGTAGCCATGGTTCTTCCCCTCGGTCCCTGGAAGCCCAGAGCAGCATCTGGACGGACAGCCGCAGGGGCCTGCTGGGATTGGGCTCCTCTGGTTTGCTGTGGGCCCCACGAGTCAGATGGCAACGAGGGTTTCCCTGGACAAGCCACGGGGACGCTCGTCTCAGTGTTTTCCTGAAATGCCGCCCGAGTGAGGAGACAGTTTTGGTCCCCTGACTCATGGGTACGGAGGCCATGTGAGTCCATGGAAGGGACAGAGAAGAGTGTGGCCTGTGTTGGGGGGACAAGGACACTTTTAAACTCCTGCTAAGGATCTTGGTCCGGCTTCACCAGAAGCACTCGGTCATTAGGTCTTGGTCTTGGTCTTTGTGCACAAAGCACAGTGACATGCTGTCACTGCGTCCTGGAGGTGACTCTTGGACAAGGACGTAGGTCACATAAGGTGCCCTGACCATTATTCTGCTGAGGACACCTGACTGCTGATGCCCTCCTCTCATCCATGCACCAGAATTGGATGATTTTGTGATCCAAACAGAGCAGAAATATCTCATCCCTGTCCACAGCAAAGAAAAAGCTACAGACGAGGGACGCTGCATGTCCCCGGAACTAGAACGATTCGCTGGGGAGGCCTCCTCCCAGGAGGGGGATTCGGAACGCTTACCTCGGAGCGGTTTTACCCTGGAAGAAAAACGGGGACGTGTCTTTGCAAGGAGCGTCCCCCCCAGCTCCCTGGGCAGCCTGCTGCCCGCCAGTTCTTCCGGGCCCTCGCTCCCCTGATCCTCTGCCCCCCAGCCCCACCCATCCTGCAGGACCCAGGTCAATCCACCTCCTACAGCATCGGGGTCACTCCCGTCCGGTGAACTCCCACAGGACAGGCCAAATCAGGTCACGGTTCCTACGTGGCATAGCCAACGTGCTCTGGAAGGTTCCAGTTGGCAGAGTCTCCCAGGCAGAGGGAGGTGCCATCTGTCATCCACTCCCTGCAGCCGCGGCGCCACGGGGGAGGGAAGGAGTCCTCGGGGCGCCTGCCCTCAGAGGTCCCAAGGTCCTACTCACACTGTGTGGGTCAAAGCCAGCTGAGCAGCTGCTGTAGTCACCGGGGGACCCTATAGAGAGCGTGGGGAGGGAGGAGCCCGACAGCTCCTTGGAGGACAGTAATGGCCACTGGGGAGAGCCAGCCAGCCAGCCATGCTGCCCACAACAGGGGCCACAGCCTTCCAAGTGCTGTCACCCGGAGACTTCTCTGGCTGGAGGAAGGTGGCCTGTGGGGTCCGCCAGCGTTGACCTGGCCTTCAGAGGGCCGGCCGAGACAGAACGGCCGGCGCAGCTCCTTGGGCAGGAAGCTTCCTTCTCACTGGTGGTTGTGCCCTGGTGTCTGGCGCAGGGCTGGGGGTCTCCCTGGGAGCTTTGTCTCACCCTTCAGTCATTCAACAAGCAAGTGCGGTACCCAGCACTCGACATGACGCAGGAAGAGGAAGAGGAACAAGGCAAATCTCTGTCCCCAAGGGCCCCAGGAGGTTCCAGGGCCGAGAAAGCAGACCCAGGGCTGAGTGCCACCACCCTGTGGGAGGAAGCTTCACAAAACCCCTGGAGGGACGACTGACCAAGGGAGCCAGGAAGGTTTCCCCAGGGAAGGAGATTTGACCTGGGCCTTAGGCGGACACGGACAGGAGGTGGAAAGGAAAGGCCCGCAGTCCCACTAGAGGCCAGGTAGGAAAAGCAGAGGAGAAGGCCACCTGTCATCTGGACTGGAGACCTCCGGGGACGGCCAGACCTAAAGGACCCGACTGTACTCATCGTAGGCTTCGTGGGCCACGTGCAAACTCTGCCACGTATCCTCCGTGTGCGTGAGTGTGTTTACAACCCGTAAAAAATACAAGAGCCACTCTTGGCTGGCAGCCCTATAAACACAGACAAGCCAGGGCACACCCACCCGGGGGCTACGACGGCACAGACGGAAACCGATGTCAGGGGAGGGGAATGGAACCTCACCAGTGGCCATGGGAATGCTGGGACGGTGCGGGGTTTGTGGAGAGCGGCCCTGGCGGTCCCCCAAAAGTAAACCCAGAGTGACCCTCCGGCCAGCAACGCTGCTCCCCGGTGTGCTTATATCCAGGCCAGTTGGAAACATATGTCCACACAAAGACTTGCCTGTGGGTGTTCGTCAGCACCATTATAACAGACCCAAAGCGGAAACAACCCAGATGTTCATCAGCGGACGGATGATGGGATGGAACAGTGTCTGCTCATAGAAGGAGTTCTGCCACTTGCCACGACCTGGGTGACCTTGAAAACGTGTCGAAGGAAAGAAAGCAGACCCGGGAGCCCACCGCCGTGTGATCCCGTTTGTGTGAAGGGTCCAGAACAGGCAAAGCCACAGACAGACAGTGATGAGTGGCTTCCTGGCCGGACGAGTCAGGGAGGGGGTGGGACTGCTGCTAATGGGCACAGGTTTCTTTTGGGTGTTGAAATCTTCTGGACTTAGATAGTAGAGAGGGTTGCATCTGTAGAGACACTAAAGACCCCAGAATCCTATGCTTTATCTGTTTTTTGTGGTGTTGAGGATTGGACCCAGGGCTCTCCACCGGCTTATGTCCCCAGACCTTTAATTTTTATTTTTAATTTTGAGACAGGGTCTCCCTCCAACCTGGGGTCCTCCTGCCTCCACCTCTGAGTTGCTGAGTCGTGGGTACGCATCACCACGCTTGACTAGATGACACGCCCTATGAAGTGTGCGTGCTGCGGCCCGTGGACCCTGTCTGGATCTGTGTTCAGTGGCGTGTTTCTCTGTATATAGGAGCTGCGGGGGAACAAGCACAAGTTGCTGCAGGGGACGCTGCCCCGGAGGTTTCCACCAGGAGTAGTGCTGAGGGGTTTGGTCTTGGTCCTCCAGCAGCGGGGAGCCATCGAAGGTCCCAGCCTGGGAGCAGCACCAGCAGGAAGTGCTCCGTAGACCTGGGGACCGGCTGGGCAGGGAGGAGGCACACTGGATCCCGCCAAGGGCACGGTGCACACTGAGTCCAGGAGCTCAGGAGGAGGCACGGCGGCCACTGGTCCCCACCAAGGGCATGGTACACACTGAGTCCAGGAGCTAGGGAGACGGCGGGCAATCACAGGGCGCCTCTCCCTCCAGAGCGCCCTCCTCATCCAGGTGGAGAGCGTCAGGACCGAGCAGCAGGAAGTTATGTTCTGAATCCAAGAAGATCAGAGAACCGGGGCTGGAGAGACACACCTGGGAGCCAGCAGTGCGCAGGCGGGACACGGAGAGGAACTGCCGCAGACCTTAGAGGACCCAGGATGGAAACCAGGGCCTCTGCACTGAAGGGACAGGGAGAGGGCAGAAGGGGAGGTCAGAGCAGGAGGTTCCGAGGAGGGTGAAGCTGGATGGTCCCAGGCAGGCGTCTCAGGCAAGAAGGGACCAAAGGAGCCTCTGCAGTTGGTGTTAGAGGCCACCACTCCTGACGAGAGCCACAGCCACGTCATGACGGGGATTAAGCTGTCCACCTGCCAAGGGTCAGAGGAGAACGGCGGCGGCAGCAGGAACCAGGAGGTAGATGGAGCCGGAGCCTTGGAGCAAGCAGCAGGCACGGACGTGGGGTGGCAGAGGGAAGGTGGAAGACACAACCTGTCAGCAGGCCGAGGAGGAAGAGGGTGGCAGCATCTCCTGCTATCAAACGAGGAGAAGGATCAGAGCGGGAGGCTGGGACGCTGCCCAGAGTCCGGAGAAGGGGCGGCCCCAGCTCAGCCGTTCCAGGGCGCCTGATCTTGTCCTGCTTGTGGGGAGAAGACCCAGGCTCGAGGCCCAAAGGAAGTGGAGGCAGGCAGGGCTCCCCTCACACCGGAGTCCTGCGGCCTCTACCCTGGAGTCTGGTTAGATGTCTGGTTGGGTATGCTGGCAACATCACTGCGGTGGTGGATGGCATGTGTTATTTAGTCAGTGTGGCCGAGGTTGCTGTGAAAGGATTTGGTGGGTGGGGTTCACATTTACAATCCATTGGCCAGAAAGAGAGGAAGCTACTCTCAAGCCTGGTGGACCTTGTCCAGTCAGTTGGGGGCCTAAGAGCCAAACCCGAGGTCCCCAGGGAAGATATCCTGCCTCAGTGGTCACCACAGCAGTGGGGAGGAGAAACAGGGATTTCATGTGCACTGAGTACAGCTTCAGTGGGGAAGGGTAGGCAGGAGGAGGCTGCCTGGGGAGGCCGAGGCAAGAGGATCCCACGCTCAAAGCCAGCTTCAGCAACTTAGCAAGACCCCAAGCAACTCAGTGAGATACTGTCTTTAAATAAAATGTAAAAAGGGCTGGAGATGTGGCTCAGGGGTTAAGTGCCCTAGGGTTCAATTCCTGGTACAAAAAAAAAAAATCTGTTGCTCATAAGCTACATAGTTTGTGGTGCCTTATTACAGCTGCCCAAATGGACAAAAATTACCACAATTAAAAACAAAGCCAAAGAGCTGCACTGCAACCCACCTAGACCCCTAGGCTGCAGGTCTGCCCTGCAATTTTAGATGTGGCAGCCCCTCTGACCACGATGGACCCAACTCCTTAAAATACATCTCTCCATAAATCTGCCCTGTAGGCTCCGTGTCTCTGGCCAACCCTGACTGACGGTGGTCTTTAGACCTGGGCTCAGCCATTAGCAATTTGGTAACTGGAAGCCTGACGTGACTCCCTGGCTCGGGTCAGTGGACATCTGGTGGAGATTCCATTCTGTTCTGCGATGAGACACTCTGGCCAGCTTGGACCCTGCCCACCCTCGCCCTCCTCTTCTCTCTTATCCTAGGTGGGATCTGGAGTCGGGGCCGTTGGGGCAGCCTCCGGTGTTGTGAATGGAGAAGGGCACACCCAGCCCCTGACCCTCGGCTCTGGCCTCGGTTTCTGGCCTCTATTAAGAATGGCCTATCCCACCCGGTCCTGGACATGGCCGACCATCCCTGTGACCCCTATGGTGGCGTCCAAGAGCCCACTGGGGCCTCTGGTGATCAAGTCTTGTGCTCTTTGTCCCAGCCAGCCTGATCGGAGGCTTCTTCTGGCCCCTGATGCTCAGAGTCACTTGAGTGTCCCTCTCCTGGGGTTGGGACCTCTTATCTAGTTTTTGTCAACCACACTGGGTGCGTGGGTCTCCAGAAGGCTGCACGTGAGCTCATCCGTTCAAGTACCTTCGAGGAGCTTTTTGGGAAGGCTGTCCTCTCTGGGGTCAGGGGGACCGGGGTCAGGAGAGGGCATTTTGGGGGTTGACAATGCCAGTCTATAATGTGTGCACAGGCAGTGCTACAACATTTTTCTCTCCCCAACCGGCCAGACCTTCCTCTGATCCAGAGAAGCAGTGTGTGCAAAGAACACAGGGTTAGCCGTCAGTGATGCAGGTTCTCGCCCCAGCCTCCCGCCCCTGCCTGGTCCCGGGTGAGCTCCTCACGGGGCCTGAGCCTTGGTTCCCCCAACAGCAACGCCAAGAGCAGGGTGGTCTGCAGGTGCTGCAGCCGGTCTCCTGTGGCACGTCTGTAGGAGCTCAGGGTCTGGGACCGCTCAGTGCCTGGGCAGAAACTGTTTTTCAGATGGATCTACATTAATGCAACTCGTGGAAAACAAATGATCAATTGATAAAACAGAAGACACGCAACGTAACTGCCAGGTGATCTGTCTTCACTCCCATTTCCTCTGACACCAAATGTATGGAGTTGGATCTTTCTTTTATTTTTCCTTTCACGAACCTATTCCCGGATTCTCCAGACACAAGCTGAGTGTCCAGCGATTCAGCTCAATT